TGTTCTCTCCAAGGAGTGTATCTACCTCAGGTACATGTTCAACTCATATGCCTGTCTTTTATTTGGCTGTAAGCCACAGGTGTGAGTTCAATTCCAGACCTGAAGGGCAGCTAGGGGCCATAGTCTCAGTGGTTCCACCAGGCTCTATCAGACCAGCAAACCTGGTCCCCCCTTTTAAAATTTTACTTCTTATAACATATAATATGTATGTCTTCCTCATAAATATTAGTGACCTATCCAAAGAAATAAGAACTGACCAGAGCTCTCATTTGTTAACAAGCCATAAATTGTGTCTTACAGCTTTCCTCAAATGAAAGAGAAAGCAGTGAGCCAGGGACTTTCATTCCTCTTTTTATGCCCCAGTCCCCTGTGACTGTGACTGCTACTCTGTCTGATGAGGATGATGGCTTCATGGACATTCTTGATGGAGAGAATCTTAAGGTACTGTGTATTTGTTTCTTATTCATTTACTAACTATCCCTGGAGAAGTCAAGCCTCCAGGGATTTTTGGTACTTTTGTTCAGCTAAAATTTATTGAGACTCTGCTTCTAGCCTAATTAAATCCTAGGGGAGGTTCAAAAGAAGACATTAATATGAACCTCTGGAAGGAAGGAGTTCTGGTGGTGTAGTGGATAAGGCATTTGGCTGCTAACCGGAAGGCTGGCAGTTCAAACCCACCAGCTACTCCTCAGGAGGAAGATGAAGCAATCTACTTCCATAAAGATTTGCAGCCTTAGAAACCCAGTGGGGGATGCTACGAGTCAGAATTGTTAAAATCTATTTTGTGCAAGAGTCATGAAACAGGAACAAGGTGACATTGTAGGACTAGCTGCCACATGGTATAAAGTTGAATGGGCTGAGGATGCCTCATGTACCCTCAAGGGAGATGCTTATAGCTATGTTCCGATATCAGAACTGTTAAGTGTGAATCTCTTCTGACCTTAAAGATCTGGGGAGTGGTGGTAATGAAGGAGAGGATGCTTTCTATCCAAACTAATGTTAGTCCCTACTGGACATTTTTAAGCCAGTTTTCCTTTTTCTTTAGAATGATGAGGAGACCCCATCATGCATGGCAAGCCTCTGGACAGCTCCCCTCGTCATGAAAAGAACTACAAACCTGGTGAGTTGTTCCTGTGTGTCTGGAGGGAGCTTTCAGTAACTAGGCTCTAAGGCAGAGTGGACCCAAATTTTCCTCTAAATAGAAAGCTAGCTCTTCCGTTCACATCACCATAGGAATCAGAACTTACTTCACTTGAGAGTCTTTGGGTCTATGGACCTTCCCATTTGACTGATCTTTAGTGGTCTCAGGTATAATGCATTGTTTTGTTTTTTAAATTTTTGTCCCTCATTGATGTGTGAGACTATCTGAGAAATTTATATGCACGTAGCACTTATTTTTATAATTTCATCTTAATCATTATTAGTCAGTTAATGTCCTTTCTGGCTGACCTACAACTCTGACCTCTCTGATCTTCTTACTAATATAAGTGCAGCTGTGGATGACTTCACTTCCAGTTGACAGTAGTAAAAGCTGTCTAAGTGAAAAGCAGAGTCTTACCCTGGACCTCATGGTTTCACCTTGGTCTGATTTTGAGAAGGGATAGGCAGTTGCTGTGGTCACCAATGCTTGTTTCATCCAGGAATTGGTGGGGCCAGTGGAAGAACTGTGCTTCCACCTTGGAACTTCTCTTCTAGCCGGTGTGCTTAATTAGCTGCTTCTGTCCCTGTGTATCTTTTTGCCATAAATGTGGTTTGTCTCCACTGTCACCCTCTCTAGCACCTTGGTTTAACTCAGCCCCAGTAGTAAGACTTCACACTTCTAGAGGTAAGACAGCAGGAAGTGAGTTGTATTTCCATGTTTCAATCATGTGATAACTGTGGAGAGAGAGCACTCAGTGGTGAACAGTAACTTATTCTAGAATGTGGCCTAGTTAAATTCATGCAATCAACATTTGTTACTCTGCCTACCTTTGCCACACAAACTTTCACCTTTTGCTCCATTTTAACAACCTGTATGCCCATGTATTATAGTATAATCTACTTGTCTTTAAACAAACCTTTTCTGGATTTAAGTGGAGTATTAACACCTGTCAAAGTGCAAGTAATAAAATAGATAAAGAAGGAAGTAAAAAATGTATTCCTGATCAGAAGGTCACAGTTACTTCTCTTCACTCTTAGGACCTTGTGTAGACAGTAAGCTTTTCGAGCACAAGGATTATCTTAACCATCTCCATATAGTGTCTGCTTAGTATGTGCTCATCAAGAATCAGGTTTTCAGTACCTGCTGTGTGCCAGGCCCAATGAGAGTTACTGGGTCTAGATGAAGGGACAGGATCTGTTTCCTAATTTAGGATGGATCTTAAACCATTCCAGGAAGGCCTTGGACTGTTATTTCATTTGCCTTGCCATTCAAGTGGGCAGGTTTTTATGAAAAATTGATTTATCTTTGTTTTTCCCTAAGGGCAATCAATGCAAGCTGTTTGACTCCCCTTCCATGTGTTCCACCCGGTCAATGCTGAAGAGACCAGAACGATCTCAAGAGGAGTCTCCATTTGGAAATACAAAACGGAGGAAAGGCATGACTTGGGCCAGTCTGGAGGAGGCAGCTACTCCAGAAAAACCCAGGGAGGTTAGTTTTATAGGTTCCTTTTTGCCTGAAGGGAGTGATTTTTCATTTGTTTCAAATGTGTCCATAATTGTCTGTTGAAGCATTTTAGTGATGGCTGCTTTAAAATCCTTGTCACGTAATCCAACATCTGTGTCTTCTCGACGTTGGTGTCTATTAGTTGTCTTCAAGTTCCCATTCAAAATTCTTAGTCAGATTTTCCTGGTTCTTGTTAGGAATGAGTGACTTCTCTATTGTTTCTGTATATTTTGAGTGTTATATTAGGAGACTCTGGATCTCTGTCAGTCTGTTTTAGCAAGCCTTGTCTGACACTGAAGAGAAGGAGAGGTGCCACTTTATTACTGCTGTGTGGGGATGGAAGCCCAGGTTCTCCAACCTAGCCTCAATGGACACCTGGGGTGGTGGGAACACCTCACTGTTGGATGTGGGTTGGGAAGCTCAGGCTTCTCACATGGTCTCCACTGACACCACAGGGCACAGGGTCCTCATTACCACTGGGCAGAGATGAAAGTCACAGCTTTCTCTGACACCATCCCAGTGGTGTAGGGGTTTGGGTGCTTCATTACAGCTGAGAAAACGTGGAAGTCTTCCTCTTCAGCCCTTGCCGGCGGTGGTGGGGTGGAGCTACAGTCTTGTCCCCTGGTGTTTGGTTGGAGTAGGGCCCTTATTGCTTAAAGGTTTTCTGTGTTGCTCAGCTGATCTTTTTCTAGTCCTTTGGCTAAAGTGAACTGGCTTTTGTTGGCTCTTGTCTGTGTGTGTTGAAAATATATATAACAAAATATACACCATCTCAACAGTTTCTACTTGTACAATTCAGCGACATTGATTACGTTCTTCAAGCTGTACAACATTCTTTTTTTTCTTTTTCTTTTTAATTGTGATTTAATTGTCACTTTCCATATAGCAATTCACATACACTTTGTCTCACGACATTGACCACAGTTTACCACAAGCAACAGCTCCCCTCCCACTTCTTCCCCATAGTTACCTCTTCCCTGTGTCCGTCCCTCCATGGACTCCTGCCCCCTGAGCTGTCTCCCTATGCATACACAGCCCTTCTTTCTCCATGATTGTTCTCTATAAGGAGTGTATCTACCTGAGGTAAATGTTCAACTCATGCCTGTCTTTTGTTTGGCTGGAAACCATAGGTGTGGGTTCAATTCCAGACCTGAAGGGCAGTTAGGGGCCATAGTCTCAGCAGTTCCACCAGGCTCCATTGGACCAGCAAACCTGGCCCCCCCCC